TTTTGAGGCATTCACTTTAAAAGCATGTGAATGATAGGAATATGGGCATGTTTTAGGAGTTTGATTTGGTTACTTGCTTAGAATGGTGGGAGTATAGCATGTCAGAAATGTTCTCCTTCTTTCTACTTGTTTGAGATGAAACAGTGGCATAGCTCTATTATCGTGAATAGGAAGCTTGAAATATGGTTTTGAAATGATTCTGACACTTCTTGCAAGCATGTTGGGATATGAATTATGAAGCTTTTCATTTCTTTTTATTTTATTATTTAGCATGAGATATGGGAGAGGTTATTTGGCCTTTCATGCATGTTGGGGTTTCGGTTTTGGCATCGTATGACTTGCTCTTACTTAAAACGAATGCTAGGGAGTTCACTTTACTGTTTAGACATGTTTGGGGCTCAGTTTTGGTTTCCTGTGGCTTCCCCTGGCTTGAAATATATGTTATGAGAAAACTTATTTAATTTGGAAAATGTTACAACTTGTTCTGAAGGTTGGGTTTAGCTCCTTGTGAAGTGCCTCCTCTGTTCATATACTTGTTGAATAATTTCATGCTTAGAATGTTTAGACATGCAGGTTGTTCCTCGGGCTTAAAATAGCTAGAGCTTTAATGTTGTATGACTCAATTATATCAATGCTTGGGCTTGATTTAATTTTGTTGAGTTCTGATTTTGGCTTTTGAGTTTTCGTTGAGCTCGATTTTGGCTTCTTATTTCTCGTCGAACTCGGATTTGGTTCCTGGTTCTTGTTGAGCTTGGTTTTGGCTTGATTTGAAGTCACGGTTTTGGGTTTGAAATGGTTGGATGTTTAATGCTTTATGGGAATTTGGATTTTAATGTTGCTAGGCTCGATTTTAGGCTTTAAATGGTTGGCTTTGGTTTTGCTTCTAGTTGGAGACCGGCTTTAGCTTTACTTCTAGTTGGAGGTCAGTCTCCTTGAGCCGCGGATTTTCTTTTCTCGGTATTTTTGACTCTGGGAAGCTTGTTCCCTGGTACACGGGAATGGCATTTATTCTCCTCTTCTCGATACTTCCCTCGCTGTCATTGGTCTCGCCGCTCGGTCCGAGAAACTTCGGTGGCTTCGCCTTCTGTGAGCGGGGAGCGTATTCTTTTCTTTTTTGGCCCGATTCGAGTGTTGTGGACTGTTGAGAGTGGTCTTCTTTCTCTTCTCTCTATTCTCTGCCTATATACACAGTTTCTTTTGAAATTTTTGAGGTTGTTGAGAAAAGTTTTTTTGAGAGGAGTGGAAATTTCGGCTGTGAGGGGAATTGGCAAGGGAGTTTCTGGGAGAGCATTTCCTTGAGGTGGTTTCTTGTGTTGCTGTGCTTTACGTTTGCATTGAGGAGGTACTTCTTCTTCCCTTTCTTTCCTATGCCCTGGTTTCCTGGGGATTTCTCCCTGTCGAGCCTCCTCTTGCTCGGTTAAATGGAGGATACAGCATGCTAGTTTACTTTGCTTTCATATATTTTTGAGATATTCGCATGTGAAGGATGAAAATGTGGGCACGTCCTAGGAGCTAAACCTGGTTACTTGCTTAAATTAGGGAGGCTATGACATCTTTATGATTATTGTGACATGTTTATGTTAAAAATATTTAAGGAGTTAAGACATGACTCTGGGGTTTTCTTTTTGCTTCTCTTTCATGCATGTTGGGGTTTCGGCTTTGGCATATGATGGCTTGCTCCCACTTAAAATG